TAATTTTCATTTACCATTGGACAAGTCTGAATTACATGGTAGGAAATTATGTTCAAAAATGTATTATAAATCTCATCAATATCCAATGGAGCTTCAAAAATAAGTAAGAAATCTTCCTGTGACATTTTCAAGGATAGACTACATAAATTTGTATACGAATTATTTCTAAATGAAACAATTTTCATGTTATTTTCTTTTTGAGAATGCGTAGAGTGATTTAGCGTTATAGTAAGCCCATAGTGATTACCTAAATAAAAGTTTTGTACTATTTCTTTGTAATCGTAACTACAATTTGTTAGAAAATAATCTATTTTTGATTTAGAAATTTTCCCATTTTTGTCAAGTGACACTCTGGTCGGTTCTATATAATATTTGTATGAGTGCATTGTTTTAATTTATAATTAATATTGCTAATGCTAAGATACATATTTTTGAGAATGTCGTTTTTTCCTTCCATAATAATTACATGTATTGTTGTTCAAATTGTTTTCTCAGTTCCCTGTCCAAACCTTCCAGTTTCATTTGATAAAATTAGAACTCTTTTTTCGTTTTTTACATTTTTACTTTCCTATCTGTATACAGATATAAGGAAAGTATAGGAATCATGATTTTTTTCGACCTCGAGTTTTTGACGGATTTTTACGTTTTGAGGTCCCCTGAATCCGTTTTGACTATTTTCGCGAAGATGTCTGTGTGTGTGTGTGTGTGTGTGTGTGTGTGTGTGTGTGTGTGTGTGTGTGTGTGTGTGTGTGTGTGTGTGTGTGTGTGTGTGTGTGTGTGTGTGTGTGTGTGTGTGTGTGTGTGTGTGTGTGTGTGTGTGTGTGTGTGTGTGTGTGTGTGTGTGTGTGTGTGTGTGTGTGTGTGTGTGTGTGTGTGTGTGTGTGTGTGTGTGTGTGTGTGTGTGTGTGTGTGTGTGTGTGTGTGTGTGTGTGTGTGTGTGTGTGTGTGTGTGTGTGTGTGTGTGTGTGTGTGTGTGTGTGTGTGTGTGTGTGTGTGTGTGTGTGTGTGTGTGTGTGTGTGTGTGTGTGTGTGTGTGTGTGTGTGTGTGTGTGTGTGTGTGTGTGTGTGTGTGTGTGTGTGTGTGTGTGTGTGTGTGTGTGTGTGTGTGTGTGTGTGTGTGTGTGTGTGTGTGTGTGTGTGTGTGTGTGTGTGTGTGTGTGTGTGTGTGTGTGTGTGTGTGTGTGTGTGTGTGTGTGTGTGTGTGTGTGTGTGTGTGTGTGTGTGTGTGTGTGTGTGTGTGTGTGTGTGTGTGTGTGTGTGTGTGTGTGTGTGTGTGTGTGTGTGTGTGTGTGTGTGTGTGTGTGTGTGTGTGTGTGTGTGTGTGTGTGTGTGTGTGTGTGTGTGTGTGTGTGTGTGTGTGTGTGTGTGTGTGTGTGTGTGTGTGTGTGTGTGTGTGTGTGTGTGTGTGTGTGTGTGTGTGTGTGTGTGTGTGTGTGTGTGTGTGTGTGTGTGTGTGTGTGTGTGTGTGTGTGTGTGTGTGTGTGTGTGTGTGTGTGTGTGTGTGTGTGTGTGTGTGTGTGTGTGTGTGTGTGTGTGTGTGTGTGTGTGTGTGTGTGTGTGTGTGTGTGTGTGTGTGTGTGTGTGTGTGTGTGTGTGTGTGTGTGTGTGTGTGTGTGTGTGTGTGTGTGTGTGTGTGTGTGTGTGTGTGTGTGTGTGTGTGTGTGTGTGTGTGTGTGTGTGTGTGTGTGTGTGTGTGTGTGTGTGTGTGTGTGTGTGTGTGTGTGTGTGTGTGTGTGTGTGTGTGTGTGTGTGTGTGTGTGTGTGTGTGTGTGTGTGTGTGTGTGTGTGTGTGTGTGTGTGTGTGTGTGTGTGTGTGTGTGTGTGTGTGTGTGTGTGTGTGTGTGTGTGTGTGTGTGTGTGTGTGTGTGTGTGTGTGTGTGTGTGTGTGTGTGTGTGTGTGTGTGTGTGTGTGTGTGTGTGTGTGTGTGTGTGTGTGTGTGTGTGTGTGTGTGTGTGTGTGTGTGTGTGTGTGTGTGTGTGTGTGTGTGTGTGTGTATAACGCATAACTCATGAACCGATACACGGAAAAACACCAAATTTCAAACTTAAGCTTTGTTCTAGCGTCTAATGAGCTGATTAGATTTTGGGCAGAGTCGGAACATCTGGGGGGGTACTTTATAGGTGGTCATTTTTATATTTTATGGAATATATCTGTTATTTACGTTTGGGGAAGAAAATTCTTCAAATGAAAGTTACTTCTTATTTTATTATCTATAATTTTTGTTATATACAAAATTTTCCTAAAATGGTCCGTATTCGCGAAATTTGACAAAATGTAAAAAAATATTTTTTTTTATAAAAATTGATTAAACAAAAGTTATTTGTAATATAATTCTCTATAATTTTTATTCTATAGATAATTTCTCTAAAATGGACCGTATTCGAGATATTTGAGAAAATGTGTAAATTTCGAAATTTGAAGAAAACTCAAAAACGGATAAAGAAAAAAACATTAAATTTTAAACTTAAGTTTTATTTCGGCCTGACGTGAAATGATTAGATTTTGGACAAAGTCGGAACATCTGGGGGGGGTACTTTATGGGAGGCCGTTTTTATATTTTATGGAATATATCTGTTATTTATGTTTGGAGAAAAAAATTGTTCAAATAAAAGTTACTTCTAATATTATTATCTATAATTTTTGCTTTATGTAAAAATTTCCTGAAATGGTCCGAATTCGAAAAATTTGACAAAATGTGCAAAATTCTGATTTTTATGAAAATTGTTGAAATAAAAGTTGTTTGCGATATCGATCTCTATAATATTTGTTCATACATGATTTTTTTAAAATGGACCGTAATGGAAAAATTGTAGGAAAAGTGCTAAATTTAAATTTTTCAGTATTTTCATTTTCAATGAATATCTATAGAAAAACGTTTCGCGGCAGATGTATGTGGACAATGTATATATTTAGTTTATCCTCTAAACATTTATAGAGATGCTGCAATAGGTTGTACAAAATAACCGGAAAAAGCCTGTAATAACTAGATAGGAAAGTCATGTGTTGGACACATCAGATTTTTTGTTATATCATTGTGCTTGCTTTGGAGATTGTTATCTTTAAAGTTAATGTGAAGGTTTCTTAATTTATTTGAGTGCATCTTATTGTCTTTGGTTAAGTTTTTAGTAAGCTGGTCAGTCATACATCTTTAGTTATCCTCCATTGCTAAATTTAAAACTTTTAATTCATTTAGGTCTACTAGGTTTATTTTATTATCAAAGTTGAGTACATTAATCTTCTTTTCAAAATTAACATTTTCAACTTCCAACAGCTTTATTGTAGTCATCATGCTTTTATTTACATTATCTAACTTAAGGCCTCATCTATTTCTGATATTTCAGTTTCATACTCCTTTAATGTTGACTGAAAGTAGATTCTGCTTTCAATATTTTGACTACCTCTTTTAAGTCTTTTAATATATTCATCTCGTTCTTTCAGAGTATCCTTTAGTTTGATATTTTTGGCTTCATAATAACTAATTCTTATTTCTTCTACATTTTTCTCTTTTTTTTTACATCTGGATGAACAATACACCCTATAACTGTCAATTTTAATTGCATCCTTAAAGTCGCTTTCCAAGCAGCTTGGATGTAGTATACCGTTATGCACACTAAGTTTTTAAAGTCTTGTTTATTGTGGCATTTAAAAAAGGGTATTTTATGTACCTATGTATCTGTAACGTGTGGAGGGTGGGTTACTCCACGGCACTTAGGCCTCACTAGGCCCATTGTGCATTCTCCTAAGATGATGGGCACCTCCTAGCTCGTGAGCCAGCCTACAGATTTAATGTAGTTGACAACGTCGCCAAGAGGTGCTTCTCTTATATCGGCCGGTATTAGCCGATACTCGACGAACACAAATCTAATAAATGAGATCGAGCAATCATAAAGGATATGCTCGATGTTCTCACCTTCCTGTTCGCACCCTCTGCAGAGTGCGGATTGTGACAGTCCCATGATATGGAGATGCTTCTGTACTTGGCAATGACCAATCAGAATGCCTGTGACTAGGTGTAGATTATGTCAAGTATTTGTTTGCTGCAGTATTGTCAGGATAACTTAAGAGCTCCCTGGCAACTCTGCAGTTTCTTGTTTCATCCCATTTTTCCTTGAATTTCACAAGGGAATGTTCTTTAACTAGGTCTGTCACTACCGATTTTGTCAGGCTAATAGAAGGGCCAGGACCAAAAAGTATTTGGTTGGCTGCTTTCTTGGCTAGTGAATCAGCAAGATGGTTACTTTTCGATGTGGCGTGACCTTTGATCCATCTTAAGGTGACCACATTGTTGATGAATACTTCGTCCAAAGCTTCGTGACATTCTAGTTCTAACCCTGAATAAATGAGTTACCTGGTGGTAGATAAGATTTTTGTAGGTATTATAGAATACATGTTGATAAAATATTAGGATAATTGGACCCCGTTATGCAATAGGGAACCAACCGACAAATTTTTGTAAATCAAGTTATTAGTGTTACATGGAGCAAAATATCCGTTGTTATCGTTCTGCAATAAGGAATCAAAGATTTTTAATATTAGTGCCATCTGTTGAGCAATAGTTCTATCTTGCAAAACTAAATAATTATATTCAGTAGTTTTCATTAAAAAACCAAATGCTTTGGTTTCTTATTGCAGAACGTTTTTGTCGCCAAGGCTACTTGGTTCCGTTTTGCGAATTTAATGTTTAATAATTCTGTGTTAAACATTTTAAACTTATTGTGGTATTTTCTTTGTTGATAAATATTTTAATATGATTAAACAAATTGTGTCTGCGAGAGTTAAAAAAATGCTAGAACTCAAGTAAGTGAATTTTAATAACCTTATTTTTTTTAAACTGTAGCAAACCTAATATATTTTATTATTAGACCATGTTTATTGTAGTTATATTGTTTGTTTATACATGTTTTGTCGATTTATTTATTTATACAATGTCGGAACATTCTAAAAGATACCCGTTGTTTATAAAAATTAGGTTGGTTCCTTATTGCGTATTTGTTTTTAGAACGAAACGAATCATTCCGATGGAGGCGACGTAAACATAAATACATTATTTAAAGAGAATAATACGCAAAATGTCTTAGTTGTTGCTTCTACAAGTCCTTACTTCAATAAGGTAATATGGGATTTATTTATACAATGTCAGAACATTCTAAAAGACACCCGTTGTTATTAAAAATTAGGTTGGTTCCTTATTGCATATTTGTTTTTAGAACGAAACGAATCATTCTGATGAAGGCAACGCAAATATAAATACATTGTCTAAAGAAAGTAATACGCCCAATGTTCTAGTTGTTCCTTCGACAAGTACTTACATTGATAATGAGGAGCTTACTATTTTTGAGGCTGAGGTAATATGGGTATTTTAAAATATGTATAAAATAAAATTTTTAAAAATATAAATTTTTTAGGACGTTGTAGACCGTTCTACAAACCTAAAAGTTATATATAGTGGAAATAGCAATATCTTAGAAGAGACAACAACTAATATAGAAACGCAACATAAACATCAAACATCGGACCTGGTGGAACGTGCCTTGATTTTTGCAGAAGATTCCGACGATTCTATTAAAGACAGAACTTACAATCCAAGTTCTGACGAAAATTCATCAGAAGATGGTTTTGATCAGACAGTGCAAGTCGAAGAAAATGAGGAGCTCATGTCAGAGACTATCGTCAGACCATCCACAGGACGTCCAAAAAAAGGTAGAAAGAGAAAGTTTTTACAACAAGATAGAAACATAAGAAAGAAGAAAACGAATAGCAATGACGAATACTATTCAGCAAAAGGAAAATTGATAAAACCCAAAGATTTTATTGATTTTACATGTACTTGCAAGATAAAATGCCACGAAAAAGTGTCTGCAATCCGTCTATAGAGGAGGATATAGATGGATTTAATGGAGAATTGGATTTTGAGTTAGACGTCTAGTTTACCGTTATTTTTTTATTATTTAAAGTGTTTTGTTCTTGTTCTGTAACATAAGAGTTTATTTTTCTATTTATCAATACAGAACCAAATGTTTTTTTAAATTAACTAATGTATTATAATATTAATTATTCGGATTTTAGCCATGAGGCCGCACTCCCTCTAGGGGGAACATTAACTCATCCCGGATATCTTAGATATCAAAGGGAATGAGCTCTGTAGGGGCCCTTTCCAGGTTGTCGGGCCCAAAGTCGCCGAGGAATTGTCGTACGATGTTGCAAGTCTTCAGTATCGTTGCCTTTTGTATATGTGTATGTATGTCTGGGAGTAGGTCAAGTTTTTGTAGGTTGTTGTTGAACGAGTGTGGTGTGACTCCTGTAGGTGAAATTATAAACGGCAGAGTAGTAACTTTATCTTGTTTCCATGTTTGTTTGATGTCTATCGCCAGTGATGTGTATTTATTTATTTTTTCGTGCTCTTTAGTACGAATGTTTGACTCATTTGGTATGGCCATGTCCAGGAAATATGTTGTTTTATTCTTTTTGTATGTTAATGTTATGTCTGGTCTATTGTGTGCAACTGTTCTATCGGTACGTAGTGTAGTGTCCCTGTAAAGTTTTATGTCCGCATTTTCTAGTATTGTTTGTGGGTGGTATTTGTAGTACGGTGTTCGTTCGGTGATAAGGTTGTGCTTAAGTGCAAGTTCTTGGTGGAGTATTTTAGCTGCTGTATTATCCCTCTCCGTATAGTCGGTACCGGCAAGCAGTTTACATCCGCTAGTGATGTGGTCTATTGTCTCTGCAAACTGGTTACATTTTCTACATTTTTCCACTGTTATGGTTGGATCTCTAATAATGTGTTTCTTGTAGTTCCTCGTAGCTATGACCTGGTCTTGTATGGCTATTGTAAACCCTTCTGTCTCCGGTTGTAGTTCGCCTTTAGTGAGCCACGAGTATGACTGTTGCTTGTTGATATGTGGTTGTTGCATTGTCTGATAATGTTTGCCGTGTAGGGTTTTTTCTGACCAACGTGATAGTTTTTGTGTTTGGTTTGTTGTGTCATTGTAGTCAGCCTGTTGTTGGTTAAGGTTAAGTGGAGTTAATTGTTTATCTGAGGATATAACAGCTGAGTGAAGTGTTGAAGTTTGTTTACTGTAGAAGTACTGACGAAGTTTGTTAAGTTGTTTGTCACGCATGTCTGTTAAGTCGATAAGTCCCCGCCCTCCCAATGTCCGAGGTAGTGTTGTTCTTTCAATACATGTCTTTGGATGTTGCATTCGGTATTTTGTCAGCATGGTACGGTTGAGTCTATTGATTTCCTCCGTTTCTGTGGTGGATAACACCAAAGGAGTATGTAAGTAGTGGTATTGCATATGTGTTAATGGCTTTGGTGATGTTTTTCGAATTCAGTTTGGTTTTAAGTATAGCTGTGAGGCGCGTTTTGTATTTCTCTGTAATTGTTTGTTTCATGTCCTTGTGGTTAATTTTGGTGTTTTGGGGGAATCCGAGATATTTGTATGTCTCTCCTTCTTGAAGTGTCGTAATGTGTTGGTTGTTCGCAGTTGGGATGTCTTCGATGTTTTTCCATTTTTATTATTATTATTAATTATTATTATTGGTGTTTGCATTAATTTAGTTCCTTTCAAAATCATACCAAAGTTTTAGTTAAGTTATTTGAGTAAGACTCGACATCCTTAACATCACTACCAATGTTGGGTTTATTATTTTGTTTATCAATAGAGAACCAAGTGTTTTTTTTATGTAACTGATAATAAGTTTTATTAAAAAATTGGTTGTTTTATTCACTTGGTTCCTTTCAAAATTAGAAATATCAAAGTTGTAGTTAAGCACATGCTTTTTATATAGTAGAAACTGTTTTTTTTTTAATCATTTTTGTTTTAAACAGCTGGTTTGCTTATAAATGTTTAAATTACCAATTATTTTTTATTGATAAATATATATTTTTTAATAAATATTTCAATTGAAAATTTTAATTGTTTTTCTTAATTTTCTCCAAATAATATAAATGCTGGTTGGTTCCTTGTTGTATAACGGTGTCCAATTATAAGCAGCCAAAGTGTAGCGTTGCTACTTTATATTATTTGTGTGCCAAACAGCACAAGTTAAAAGCTTTCTATAAAACTACACAAGCTTATATAAAGAGGGGATATTATTCATTAAAATAGTTATTTATGATATAAGTGATATTTTATTTTGTGAGAAGGGAAGTTTGGAACACGACGCCCAAGGCGGAGTGTTCCATCCCTTCAAACAAAATAAAATCACTTTTAGCACGTATATCATACACTATTTTTTCTACAAACACCATTAAAAGTCCAAATTAACGCATACCTATTTTACATTAATTAATTGATAAAATAACAGCCTCGAGATTATCAGTTTTGAATCCAATTTCATCTAATCTATTCATGAAACAAGTTGCCAAGGTAAACAAAAACCGAATGTCTTGATTTGTTTCTGTTGACAACTAACGTCAATAAATCATGAATATCTTCCTCGTTTGTTCGTTCCTCGATGGAAAGTTATCAAGAAAATGAATTTCTTCCGCCGGAAATTGAAGAAGCTGCCAATAGAGCTGCTTTTGAATTATTGCCTAGTAAGTCAAAGCAGTAGTGCTAAAATTGATTTACTTTTAACACCAGTGTCATAAAATGGCATTTTAGACACTGACTGCATGCGTTAAAAATTATACTTTTACTGACGTTTGTAGAAAAAATCCTTTTTTTTTTAATAGTTTCCTTGTCCTTTTCTATTTAATACAACGTTTCTAATTATTATATTTTTCAGACATGAAAGTGTGGAGTGATCCCTTTGATCGGAAGAAATCAAGTTCACAGTGACATAATTAGATATTGTTTAAAATTTTAAATATAGATTTATTTTAATTTTAGTTGTTATAATAAATGTTTGAATTTAAAGGATTTTTTTAAGAATACCTGATATATAAATCAAAAACAACTTTTAAAAAATATATTTTTTAATTAATAGCACCATAAGAAACACTAGATTATATTTTTTTAAAAAAGTAATGTCAATTTTTCTTAACTAACACTTATCTAAATAATATTTAAGAAGGTCAAAACTATATAAAATGTTCTTCGTCATCATCACAGACATCCAAGTACACATCGAAAGCTTCTCTGTTACAGTTGCCATCTGCAGTGAATACGTATTTATGAAATGTTCCGTCCAAGCATATCGCTAGAAAGAAAATGAATAAATCACACAAATTTCTAATACTAGTGAACTTCATTTTAACTTTAAGGAAGAGAGTTTAAGATCCAAGTAGGGAAACGACCTTCACCTGACTGTTTAATGGATGAAAAGAATTTTATATCAAATTAATACGTTAAGTAATAATAAAAGGTCTTTACAAAAACATACCACATATTCCTTAGACCAAAATAAGTCGATTTAAGTAAAATTACCTTAGTACAAAGTTGCTTCGTTTGGGCTCCAGAGGGCCTTGAAGTTACAATTTTTAAATCGTTTTTCCCATATAAATTTAAAACGGCATAAGCGATTTTGCTGAAATTTGGTATATTGGTAGAGTTTTATGTGTCAAAAAAATGGTATTAAAATTTTGTCCGATAATAATACATAGGCGTAGAACTTGATTTTTTAAATAATTGCACCTTTAAAAATTCTACGCCAATGGAAGAAAAGGAGTTTGAGTATGAAATTTAGATTGCGCAACTCATTTACTTTAAAAAAGGTACTCTTGATAAGACTCAATTACTCTCATGATTTTGACGAAATTTGCATTTTAGTAATTTTAGAACATAAACAATAATTATTAAAATACAAACTTTGTCAAAACCATGAGAGTAAATCGAGTGTTATCAGGGGTACTTTTTTGTAGTAAATGAGTATCCAATCCAAATTTCATACTTAAACCCCTTTTCTGCCATTGGCGTAGAATTTTGAAAGGTGCAATTATTTAAAAAATCAAGTTCTACGCCTATGTATTATTATCGGACAAAATTTTATACGATGAAAAACATAAAAATGTACTTTTTTCATATCTTCTTCAACACCTCTAATCGAGACTTTTAACAAAAATACTCGATTTTTGCTATGTACAATTTTTGAGGAATATTAATTATTTGCCTGCTCAGATAAACAAATGAATAATAGATGCCTAACGGTCTGGATTTGTTTGAATCCAGTATGAACCGTTTTATGTATTACTTTCTCTTTCTCCATGGTCTTCGATGTGATTCGTCTATTTTAAATAGCAGCCCCAAAATTTTCTCACAACTGTCAACAAGCAGTTGGGAATTGTCAATTTTGATTTTAAAATTTCTGTTTTTATATTCCCAGAACGCCTTATTAAAGTTTTTCAGTTTCTAGTGTGTTTTTTAAACGATATTTATTAGTTTTAAGGGTAAAAATGACTAAAAAGTGTATTATTTGTTCTAAAAGATACATTTTGGGTGGTTCTACCTCCTTTCATTGGTAAGTAAATAAAACACATAGGCGGCACCAGATACCATTGTGTATTTTTTTTTTAATTTAAGTATTTGTATATTAATGTTTCAATACTAATGTAGATACTACGTTATGTACCTAATTGAAAAAGAATATATCGCACCATCAATACACAATACCCAAAGCCACTCAAAAAAATCGCAATTTTGAGTTAAGATACAAAATTCAAATGCAACTTCACCAAATATTGTATTTTATTCCAAATTTAAGGCGTATTAATTAATATTACTTTGCTTCTTCATGTAAACATACACAGTTAATTTTATTTAACAAATCACTGACTGAGAGTGATGGGACTTTTTCAAGGCATTCAACAGGGTAAACCAGCTACTTTTAGCTAAACTTGTCAACATGATTTTGTGAAAATGATTGAATAGTATATGCTTGTTTATCGAACTTGTTCTGAATAAACATAAATCAACAGTATATAGGTAGGTATACCTACTGTAGGGTGACCATGTTTAGTTTAGCCCAATGCTGGATAATACAACATTGATGATGAACTTTGGTGAGGTGAAGACTTTTTTTAAGTTTCCAAAGATACCATCCACAGAGAAATCACGTCGAGGACCGGTGGACCTATTTTTTTAGATTAATACGACAGAGAAGTCATATGTATTACGTTTTTGTCTTATTTGTTACATTTCAGTAAAAAGGGTTGTACAATTGCTACGTTTAAAAAGTACCTCCTGGAGCGGAGTAGAGCTAGATTTTTTAGTCACGTGATCATCGAAATTATGTGAAATAAAAGACCGGCTATGGATTTGATTGTTTTCGGTTTTCATTAAAATAATAAACTTAAACCTTTCTTTTAAATCGAATTTGATCTCTCGTATAGTGGTGTTTGTTGCAAAGTAAAGTGAATTTTTAGCTGTGATATTTTTCGCCTTTTGCTTTCACTAAAAAATAAACCATGTTCTAATTTCTGTCTGACGTTTTTTATTAATATTTCTCTGTTAAATTTAATTCGGAGTAAATAGATCTTACTCGACGTACCAGCTCTGCATTAAAAGACCACGGCAGATCTTATCGAGAAGCCACAGATATAAAAAAAGAACGGCTTCGAGTAAAAAGAGGTTACTTTTCAAACGCAGCAAATATAGTGAATTGCTGTATGTATGGTTACCCTAACCTGCTGTAGTATTAATAAACTAATTTAATTATACTTAGACTTATTGTATCCTGATAATTTTATTATATTGTCAAAATGCCAGGAGGAAGACTGCCATTTTAACATATAATATGCCCTAACCTAATAGATTGCACCGAAAAATGGCCTTTATCCCTATTTTTATTATTTTTGTATTTCACAATCTACACACGAACTCAAATATCGCTACCTAATAAAGAGTTAAGTTAGAACACATAGAAAGATATTACATTACGTGTTATTTCCTTATAATTTCATTAAAAAATAGCGTAGTTTTAACACCTAATCTCTTGTTAACGATTGAAAGTGTTCTATCTGACTCAATAATTAAAAAAACAAATGCGTGGTTTATTAATATGGCTGTATAATATACCAATGCAGAATATACCGATATGTTACTGACATTAGGATTTTGTGAAGGAAATGCTCGAGAGAGTCAGTCAGGGTGTACTCTGAAAGGTTTCCAAATCGTCGTGTACCTAGCCACCCAACTTTTGCTGCTGTTGAGAGACGTCTTCGGAAGACCGGTTCCTTTGCTCCCAACACCAGAGAGAAGACATTAACAGAGTGACAATTCTAATACAAATTTCTGGAAGCATGTTCCATGCGCGTTGACTGTGGCGACGCGCTTGGCAACGAGCACGAACTAGAGATTGCGAAAAATATCGATTTAGGTACAATGTTACAATCTCATTTACTACAAATTTATATTTTGTAAAGGTAATGTCATTAAACCACTCACCGGGCATTAAACAGAAGGTATTAAGTAAATGTACATAAAGAACACATTTTTTTATTGCACCAGTGACACAAAAAATCTAAAAAATGATCATTAAAATCACTCACAAAATACTGAAATAAAAAAAAAATTCTATGGTTTCACAAAATAGTAAAAAAAAACTTAAGTCACTCACAGTAATTTAAAAAATCTGATGTGTCCAACACATGACTTTCCTATCTAGTTATTATAGGCTTTTCCGGTTATTTTGTACAACCTATTGCAGCATCTCTATAAATGTTTAGAGGATAAACTAAATATATACATTGTCCACATACATCTACCTCGAAACATTTTTCTATAGATATTCATGGAAAACGAAAATACTGAAAAATTTAAATTTCCTACAATTTTTTCATTACGGTCCATTTTAGAAAAATCATGTATAAACAAAAATTATAGAGATCGATATCGCAAACAACTTTTATTTCAAAAACTTTCATAAAAATCAGAATTTTGCACATTTTGTCAAATTTCTCGAATACGGACCATTTCAGGAAATTTTTACATAAAACAAAAATTATAGATAATAATATTAGAAGTAACTTTTATTTGAACAATTTTTTTCTCCAAACAATAACAGATATATTCCATAAAATATAAAAACGGCCTCCCATAAAGTACCCTCCCAGATGTTCCGACTTTGTCCAAAATCTAATCATTTCACGTCAGGCCGAAATAATCCTTAAGTTTAAAATTTAATGTTTTTTACTTTCCTATCTGTATAGAGATATAAGGAAAGTATAGGAATCATGATTTTTTTCGACCTCGAGTTTTCGACGGATTTTTACGTTTTGAGGTCCCCTGAATCCGTTTTGACTATTTTCGCGATGATGTCTGTGTGTGTGTGTGTGTGTGTGTGTGTGTGTGTGTCTGTGTGTGTGTGTGTGTGTGTGTGTGTGTGTGTGTGTGTGTGTGTGTGTGTGTGTGTGTGTGTGTGTGTGTGTGTGTGTGTGTGTGTGTGTGTGTGTCTGTATAACGCATAACTCATGAACCGATACACAGAAAAACACCAAATTTTAAACTTAAGCTTTGTTTCAGCGTCCAATGAGATGATTAGATTTTGGGCAGAGTCGGAACATCTGGGGGGGTACTTTATAGGTGGTCATTTTTATATTTTATGGAATATATCTGTTATTTACGTTTGGAGAAGAAAATTCTTCAAATAAAAGTTACTTCTAATATAATTATCTATAATTTTTGTTTCATGCAAAATTTTCTTAAAATGGTCCGTATTCGAGAAATTTGACAAAATGTAAAAAAAATATTTTTTTTTAAAAATTGTTCAAATAAAAGTTGTTTGTAATATAATTCTCTATAATTTTTGTCCTATACATAATTTCTCTAAAATGGACCGTATTCGAGATATTTGAGAAAATGTGTAAATTTCGAAATTTGAAGAAAACTCAAAAACGGATAAAGGAAAAAACATTAAATTTTAAACTTAAGGTTTATTTCGGCCTGACGTGAAATGATTAGATTTTGGACAAAGTCGGAACATCTGGAGGGGTACTTTATGGGAGGCCGTTTTTATATTTTATGGAATATATCTGTTATTTATGTTTGGAGAAGAAAATTGTTCAAATAAAAGTTATTTCTAATATTTTTATCTATAATTTTTGCTTTATGTCAAAATTTTCTGAAATGGTCCGTATTCGAGAAATTTGACAAAATGTGCAAAATTCTGATTTTTATGAAAATTGTTGAACTAAAAGTTGTTTGCGATATCGATTTCTATAATTTTTGTTTATACATGATTTTTCTAAAATGGACCGTAATGGAAAAGTGCTAAATTTAAATTTTTCTGTATTTTCGTTTTCAATGAATATCTATAAAAAAATGTTTCGAGGTAGATGTATGTGTAAAATGTATATATTTAGTTTATCCTCTAAACATTTATAGAGATGCTGCAATAGGTTGTACAAAATAACCGGAAAATGCCTATAATAACTAGATAGGAAAGTCATGTGTTGGACACATCAGATTTTTTCTTTATCCGTTTTTGAGTTTTCTTCAAAATTCGAAATTTACACATTTTCTCAAATATCTCGAATACGGTCCATTTTAGAGAAATTATGTATAGAATAAAAATTATAGAGAATTATATTACAAACAACTTTTATTTGAACAATTTTTATAAAAAATTATTTTTTTTACATTTTATCAAATTTCTCGAATACGGACCATTTTAGGAAAATTTTGCATAAAACAAAAATTATAGATAATTATATTAGAAGTAACTTTTATTTGAAAAATTTTCTTCTCCAAACGTAAATAACAGATATATTCCATAAAATATAAAAATGACCACCTATAAACTACCCCCCAAGATGTTCCGACTCTGCCCAAAATCTAATCAGCTCATTGGACGTTGAAACAAAGCTTAAGTTTAAAATTTGGTGTTTTTCTATGTATCGGTTCATGAGTTATGCGTTATACAGACACACAGACATCATCGCGAAAATGATCAAAACGGATTCAGGGGACCTCAAAACGTAAAAATCCGTCGAAAACTCGAGGTCGAAAAAAATCATGATTCCTATAATTTCCTTATATCTGTATACAGATAGGAAAGTAAAAACCATTGCTTTCACTTTATTTATCAAGAATATTCTGTCAATAATTTTAAATAAACTGTTGGATATTTTAGTACCATTTAATATTCATAAATATAAGGAAGTATTTCAAGCTTTAAAAAAGAAAACATTCAGAAAACGCCAAAAGAGATTATATGTATTCGCTCCGTGCGCGACAGCAGCGCCAATTCGTTTTGATACTAATGGACTATTTCTGAGTACACTGACAAATGCAACTTTTAATAGAATTCGTAATTAAAAAGTATATATGGTAGTTTTAATAAAAGTATATGGATTTGTAAAACAAGTAAAACATTAATTTTTTATTATTATTATATATTTTTATCGCTTAAATTAAAGAAAATTATGTATAATCGATAAAAATGAATAATAAAATATAGGCAGGCAACAGTATTTACTGGAAATTGTATGAGAAGTTGCCCGAGTCTAATAAGTTTTTATTGAAGAATTACTCCAATCTGTCAAAATAAAAAAATACCATTTAATAATAGCGTGAAGTTAAAATGTATAAAAGAAGGATCATTACTTATATTTTCATTTTTGTTCTAAAGAAAACATAGAATGAATGATTAAAACTGGTTTCCGATCAGTAAGTCACAAAATTGCATACCAGCCAAATATTATAATCAACGGCAGAAATCTTGAAATCTAGTCCATGCTGAATGAACATTTAAGAATAAAGGGATATTAAAGAACATCGTAAAATGATAATTTATTGTTTATTTAAAAACTTTCTAGTTTCTGATGTCTACTATTTCCAGCATTACTGTTATTATCACAAAAATAAAGGTAATTTTTCTTCTTATTGTACACCTATCCATTTATTTCTTTGATTTAATTTCCACTTTGTTAGTGAAATTTGTTATATAAGTTTCACTGTTTTTTTTTAGCTAGTATTTGTACAATTTTCAACACAGCAACTCCGGTTGCTTATTGTGTTGTTTTTACCTACTTTTTTGAAAAAAAGTAAAATGTATACGTGTATTTGATATGCCAAAATTACAAAATATCCCCCTAAAATGCACGAATTATCCGCAGCTAGCGCTAGTATCACTTTTGCTTCCCTTTCCATGACTTCGCACGGAGCGGATATGAGACTGCTATTTAAAACTATGATAACTTTAATATTATCTCTTTACGTTGTACCTAAAAAGTAACTCCAATTTTTAGTCGCCAGAACATAAAATTGTCATAGTATCCTGACCTGCAGTGGGATTCTCATCTTTCAATACAGCATATTATGTTGAGACACCTATCTTCATCGACAGACTGCCATTCTTATGTAATGTCTTTATCTATTCAACACCTAACGTGTTAAGTTCGCACATATAAGAATCCATGTTCTGAATTCCTTTTATCATGGCATCCCCTCTTGTCTTGGGTTTGGACATGATTAAACTGAAATAAATACAGAAATTGGTTAGGCCACGTTGCATGGACTGATATATAGATAATAAGGATTTACACAGTGTGAACTTCTAACTAGGTACTAGGTATAACAAAAACTACTTTATTAAAAATTTGTAGTAGAAATATATTTATTTCTTACCTTAATATATTTCAATTCATGTAGTAAACACGATTAAATAAATTTGTAAATTCTTAAAATGGATGGAAAGACATGAGTATTTATTAAATTAATTAATATTTAGTTTTTCTCTGCATTTACAGTATTTTATTTAGTTATAGGTTATGTTAATTGTTGAAATTATGGAACAACAAGGTACAAACAAATAGCTTTTATAAGACATTACACTGATTACGCTATTGGTTGAAATGTAACATAAACGATTGAAATATGTTAATGACCAATAATAAGCTACTGTCATAGTTTATGGTCGTTGAGTAAGAACTACCTTCACGTAATTGTCACTAGTATCAGTCGTTTATAGTTCAATGTTGAACCACCATGCGCGATGCGCAACGAGTGTCAAAAATCGGTCCAAAACGCGTAGACAAGTTTTGTATATGATTGAAACCATCTGCTATGTCTTATCTCTGTCCCAACACTGTTGAAGAGAACGTTTTGTAAGGATTCCTGAAGTTGAAGAAGACATTTTAGAACGTGTTGAAGAAGATCCAGAATTAAGTACCAGACGAATTGGAAGAGAACTAGGAGTAAGTAAAGATGTCGTTCATAAAGTGCTTAGAGAACAATTGCTATATCCATACCATAAGAAGCCAGTACAAGAATTATTAGTCCATGACCCTCAAATTCGTTTGGGTTTTTGTCGATTTGTTAATATGCAAAGAGAAAGAGATCCAAACTTTGTCAAGAAGGTTCTATTTACCGATGAAGCGGGTTTTACAAGAAGAGGTATAACTAATACCCATAATGAACATGTTTATGCAGTTGAAAATCCGCATGCAACAAAGGTAAACCATTTTCAGCACGAATTCAAAATTAATGTGTGGGCTGGAATAATTGGTAATTTCATTGTTGGTCCTGTCATAAAAACCATGAGAGAAATCGAATCTTATCAAGAGTACCTTTTTTAAAGTAGACAAGGTGCGCAATTTAAATTTCATACTCAAACTCCTTTTCTTCCATTGGCAGAATTTTTAAAGGTGCAATTATTTAAAAAATCAAGTTCTACGCCTATGTATTATTATCGGACAAAATTTTAATACCGTTTTTTTGACACATAAAACTCTACCAATATATCAAATTTCAGCAAAATCGCATATGCCGTTTTAAATTTATATGGGAAAAACGATTTAAAAATTGTAACTTCAAGGCCCTCTGGAGCCCAAACGAAGCAACTTTGTACTAAGGTAATTTTACTTAAATCGACTTATTTTGGTCTAAGGAATATGTGGTGTTTTTGTAAAGACCTTTTACAGACACCCTGTATAAAGAAGCTATCAATAAACAAACTGATTTGCATGAATATAGGCTGCCGGTTATTGAAAATTTGTTGGGTCCATTTCCACAACCAGTTCAAAAATTAAAAATTGTTCATTTACCTGAAATGTGCGAAAAGGGTGCCAACAGTAAAACCAAAAGACGTTGCTGCCAAGTGTGTTGGAATACGAACAAGCAAGGGAAAGATTCCATTTATTGTTGCCCAACATGTCCGGAAAAACCTGGACTGTGTTTGACCCCTTGTTTCAGGGGTTTTCACGCGAACATGTAATATTTTTATGGAGTTTGAATAGTTCCTACTTTTATTTTATAGTATTAAAATGAAGTTTTATATTTTGTGTTACTTATTTTTAGAAATATGTTATGGTTTTGTTCATTATTTAATGCAATATTTTACTATTTTTAATAAAATGATTGTTTTAGAAGGATTTTTTGTTTTTTCTGGCGGTACACGCCTGGCGCGTTCAGTGGCATAGAAGGTAAGAAAGTGCATGCCCACACCGCGCTAGGAGCGTTTTGTTTTTTTTTTTTGTAAAAAAAGCTTGAAATCAGTTAGCTACAATTTTAATAAAAAAAGAGAGTGGCACGTAGGGTACTGCACGGTATTTTCTGGGCAGCGAATGTGTTAATAGACAAATTACATACCAATCGAAGCTTATAGAATATGCAAACGTTAGGTTGACTATTTTTTCCAGTCATTACCATTGGGAGGCAGGTATAAATAGGTAAGTCGATACTAATAATTTGCACTCGTCTGTTTAATAAATAAAACTTATGTAAAAATAAAAATAGTATGAGAAAATAATTTACCGATAACAGAACTATTTGGACCAAAAGCGCATACACAAGCACATTCCGGGGGAACAATGAAATTTGCTAAAGCCCATTGTGATTCACCATATTTTCCTAAAATTCCACTTGGTATGCTAAAAAATAATACAATAATTTATGGAGTGAATTAAAATATAATAGTATATTATTAAACGAGCAATTTATGGTAGCCATTATTCACGCAGGGTGACGTTTGCGTCCCGAGCCGTAGGCGAGGGGCGCAAGTCACCCGAGTGAATAATGGCCATAAAATGCGAGTCTAATACTATACTTTGTCCACGACCATTATGGTTTCTTTATTAAATAAAAGTTAAGTGTGAATGGAAAGTTTTTATTTAACATAGGTAACTAACTGTTGTTTTTTCGATTTTTTTCGATTTTTTTTCGATTTTTTTCAATTTTTTTGTTTCGATTTTTTTTTTTCGATTTTTCTTTTTTCGATTTTTCGTTTTTTTTTTTTTTCGATTTTTCGTTTTTTTTTGTTTTTTCGGTTTTTTTTTATTTTTCGATTTTTTTTTATTTTTCGATTTTTTTTTTCAATTTTTCGATTTTTTTTCGATTTTTTTTTCGATTTTTCGATTTTTCAATTTTTTTTCGATTTTTTGGTTTTTCGATTTTTTGATTTTTTTCGATTTTTTGGTTTTTCGATTTTTTGATTTTTTTCGATTTTTCGATTTTTTTCGATTTTTCGATTTTTCAATTTTTTTTTCGATTTTTCGAAATTTTGGTTTTTCGATTTTTTTTTAATTTTTTTTCGATTTTTCGTTTTTATCGATTTTTCGATTTTTTTTTTCGATTTTTCTTTTTTCGATTTTTCGTTTTTTTTTTTTGTTTTTTCGGTTTTTTTTTTTCGATTTTTTTTTCAATTTTTCGTTTTTTTTTTTCAATTTTTCGATTTTTCGTTTTTTTTTTTTTCAATTTTTCGATTTTTTTTCGATTTTTCGATTTTTTTTCGATTTTTCAAATTTTTTTTCGATTTTCCGATTTTTTTTTTCGATTTTTCGATTTTTTTTTTCGATTTTTCAAATTTTTTTTCGATTTTTCAAATTTTTTTTCGATTTTTTGGTTTTTCGATTTTTCGATTTTTTTTCGATTTTTCAAATTTTTTTTCAATTTTTCGTTTTTTTTTTTCAATTTTTCGATTTTTTTTCGATTTTTCAAATATTTTTTCGATTTTCCGATTTTTTTTTCGATTTTTTCGATTTTTTTCGATTTTTCAAATTGTTTTTTGATTTTTTGGTTTTTCGATTTTTTGATTTTTCGATTTTTTTTCGATTTTTCCAATTTTTTTTCGATTTTCCGATTTTTCGATTTTCCAATTTTTCGATTTTTTTTCTATTTTTCAAATTTTTTTTCGATTTTTTGGTTTTTCGATTTTTCGATTTTTTGATTTTTAGATTTTTCGATCTAGAAAATATCGTTATGAAAAGTATCTCCTATCTTTAGTTATCTATCGGAATGTGCCAGAATTACAAAAGCGTGAATTATTATAATTCACTCCGTGATATATGGGTACTATATGCTCTTAGTTAGGAGGTGAATATTGATTTATTATTAAGTGGTCGTGGACAAAAATGTTTTTTAGGCAACTGTCATAAAAAATTACATTTTAGGGATTTATTAACATCCCTAAAAAGTCACTTTTTTGGCTGCATTTACTTTACGACCACTTTTTATAAACACATATAAAAAATGGCTCTACAGTCACCTTAAATAAAAAAAAACCTCGGCTGTATGATCTTTTTTGGCCTAACTTAATGTATAAAAAAATATAGAAATTTTAATAAAAAATACAAAATTTATACATAAATATAGAATTGAAATCATTAAATAAGAATATAAAACTAAGCCTTATATTTTTATAAAAATAAAAAATTATTAATAATGTAGAAGTTGCTGCGCCTCGACCGCAAATTTCTGATTCGGCCGAAAAAGATCAACTTTACGGCCTTTACTATTTTAAGATAGTTAAATTATTTTTTATACAAACCTTATCCTTCTATTTAAATTGGTATTTTTAATGGCAAATATATGTACAGTTCCTTTGTCACTTGAGCAGCATAAATATTCCGAATCCCTGCTAAAATTGATACTGGAAAAATACAAGGAAAAATCATTAACTTTTAATAAAACCACAATTTTCAAGGGTAACATACCAAGATACTGATAATAGTCCGCTATTTTTATTAAATCTAAATCTCGAGAATATTTTATTATCAATTTTTGGCATTAATAATCTGATTAAAGCCCGAGAGCTTCAGCTCGAAGGCTTTAATGCCAAAATTATGTAGAATCAAATTTTAAAATGTTCGAGAAATTTAGCAACTACAAAAAATAATAGAATATTAATCAAGGTCGTGTTATATTTGGAACGACTATTTCACTAGACCAAATATCGACCATTTCATGAAACAGGTCGTTTAACTTTTGAGTTCTGGTGTTAAATTACACCAACAAAAATAATAAATAACAAAATATATAATTTATAGGCATTAAAAACGTAACAGTGTTCTAGTAATTGACACCCATATTGTTCTTTAAAAATAAGAACATTCTAAAACATCAGTATTATTAGAATACTGATACACAATGTGGTCAAACTGTCTAAAAAATTTGATGTGCCCAATACATGACGTGTGTCTTTTTTTCCACCGGTTTGTTGGAATCGTTTTTTCGCCGATGCGGCCTTGAACGCCTTTTGTTGGATTCGATTTATTTATGGTTGACCGTTGAAATAAATTACAGTTGACATGTTGGATTAAAATTTGTGTCTATAATTTTTATTTGAATGTACCTATTGACTTTAATTTGGACGCATATATTTTTAAAATCTCATTTTTTCGGTTTACCCACAAAAAAACAATTAAATAATTAATTAACTCCTTAATTCCAGCAATCCACAGCTGTCAGTTGTCACGTCTAATCGGAAAAATCATACATTGAAATGATGGAATGGTGTTGCATCGATTGCATCAACGTTGGATAAAAAGACAGCGCTGTTAGTTCATTATTGATAGATTGATGAAATAAAAGACAGGTAGATATCCCACCGATGCCAACGTTGCTGCAACAGTTGAATAAAAAGACACACGTATAGTTAGGTTGAAAATGAGTGAGATGATCTTTACTATCTAGTTATTACAGGCTTTCTGTGGCTATTTTGTACAACCTATTGTAGCCCCTAAGTAAAGTTTTAGAGGATAGACTAAATATATATATTTTTGTTAGAATTGTATTTCCTAGGTAATGCCGATATCATATAGTTACTATAGTATTAGTTGTTATAGATAGCTTCTTACGATTGTTTTTCGTGATTGATGTACTGTTTTTATTATACAAAAAGATATATTAAACCTTCTATAGAAAAGCTGTGTTTTGCTCATCAATCTATCAATTTTCCACATACATTTCCTCCAATTTTCCCATTACGGTCCATTTTAGAGAAATCATGTAGAAAACAAAACTAATAGAGATCGTGAACGGGTGGCACTCGCCTTTCCTCGCACATGTGGGGTTTAGTGAGTGTAGCACAAGTAGAGTTAGGTATTTCTTGATAAAGAAACGAAGGACTAGGATTTCTACTAGATGGTTTAACAAAAAAAAAGGCCCGCCAAAGTATATGCTAACTTTGGAAAATGGCCGGGATGATGGCACTCGTATGTTGGGTAAATTAACCATTATTTGTTGACTAGTTTGGGCTTTCATTTTAAAACAAGTTAGACATTTGTGGATAATGTTCTTCATTTCTTTCAATCCCTCTAAGGGCCAGAACCTTAGCCTGAAATTAGAGAGTATACTATGTGGACCAGCATGTCTGAGTTTTAAATGTTCATTTATTAACATAAGGGTAGTAACATTATTTTTGGAATGCAGAAGAAGGAATGTTTTTGGTCAAAAGGCAAAGATGAATAGGCAAGCCGTTCTCCTACTCTCAATAAACCATCTTCGTCTAGAAACGGGGATAATTGCAGAATTGATTTATTCGAAATAACTATATTCTTATTTAATTCCAAGAGTCTTTTTGAAAAATGTATTTCCTGTAATTTCTTTACAATTAGAAAATGAAACTATTTTCTGAGCTAATTTCGGTAAAAGTAACATGATTGATAGTTCTAACTTTGAAAGAGTGATAGTTTTCACGCGAGCAACTCTAGATTTGGAGCAAATAAGGTTGCTTGTAACCGATTGATCCTCATATATAACACGTAAAAATATGCATGCTCCATACGCGACTAGAGAAGCGACTGCGTATCCATGAAACTCAGTGCATAAAATATTTTTATTAAAAAAGAGAACGTGGGATGTTTAAATTGGAAAGTGCTGGAAGGTTATTAAAGAATTTCTCCCATTCTTGAAATAAAACAGGATCTGCGATTTCTGTATCCCAATCTAATTTAGGCACCCAAAAATTCTGCATAGGAATTTTCTCTCTTACTATAAAACCAATTGGATCAAAACATTGTGAAAGAATGGATAATACAGTTCGTTTAGTGATTAAGCCTGGAAAATTAATTTGAGGAAGAGAAATACAAAGGAAATCTTCATTAGATTTCCACTTTACTCCAAAACTTTACTTGGGGCATCATCTATATTTAAATCATATTCAAAAACTTTAGATTGGGATATTTCCTGTAAAAGTTCTGTTGAGTTAGAACCCCACTTATGCAGGTGTAACCCAAAAGGGCCTAATAAATTATTTAATTGGTGATAGAGTTTTTAAATTATCGTAACTATCGTTACCAGAAAGAATGTCATCTATATACGTTTGATTCAAAATTGCATCAGCCGCGAGAGGAAATTCAGAACCTTTTAAATATGCGATTTCATTAAGTACACGAGTGGAGACAAACGGAGCAAAATTTGTCCCATAGCTAACAAGAGTTCAATACACCTCAAGGGTTCGGAAGGACTCTCCCTCCATAAAATGTTTTGAAGAAAATTTTGTTCTGGGTTTACTTTAATTTGACGATACATTTTTTGAATGTCAGTAGTGAGAACAAATTTAAACAATCGAAATCTACATAATATGTCAAAAAGGTTAGGCTGAACTTGGTGTCCCTTTAGTGTTACATCATTCAAAGATACACCAGAAGTAGTTCTTCACTTGCGTCAATTCTTAAGCACTGGATTCGCGCACTACGCATGAGGAATAAAATATTTTCTTTCGGAACGCAAATTGGTTAAGAGGAACGTAGTGTACTGAAACAGCTCTCCATCAACTAATAAAAAGGGTGGAGAACACACTGGAAAACAAGGAGGTAATGCTGGGAGCATTCTTGGATATCGAGGGTGCATTTGACAATACCTCCGTTGAATCGATCATTAGATCTCTCAAACACAGAGGAATCGAGGACACATGCGTGTCCTGGATCGACTCTATGTTAAGGGAGAGAACTATACACACAACCCTTATGGGAGAGACAACAGCGGCACGGGTAGCGAGAGGATGTCCACAGGGTGGAGTGCTGTCTCCACTCCTGTGGAACCTTGTAGTGGACGGGCTGCTTAAGGCTCTCAAAGATAAGGGACATAGAACCCTGGGATATGCCGATGATCTAGTGATCATGGCACAGGGAAAATACAACACTATAGTAAGAGATCGAATGCAAGAGGCTCTAAATATAGTAACAAAATGGACAGAGGCGGAAGGACTAAACATTAGCCCAAACAAATCTGACATAATTGCATTCACCCGCAGGAGGAAATTGGAGGGACTAGGGCCTCTAAACCTAAGAGGTGCAAGCATCCAGCTTAAGGGGGAGGTAAAATATCTTAGGGTTATGATTGACTCGAGACTTACCTGGAACCAGCATCTAGAAAGAACCACAAGGAGAGCGGAAACCTCATTAATGATGGCCAGGCGATCCTTTGGAAAAAAAATGGGGGTTAAAACCAGACATGGTATACTGGATTTATAACATGGTGGTAAGACCCATAATAACATACGCAGCTTTGGTGTGGTGGCCAAAGACACAGCAAAGGAAAGCAATAACGAGGCTTAGCAAGGTACAAAGACTTGCCTGCCTCGGAATAACGGGCGCAATGAAAACAACCCCCACTGCTGCAATGGAAGCACTAATAGGACTCCCACCTCTTCATTATGTGATACAAGGGGAGGCAAGATTAGGTGTTTACAGATTAGGCAATACACTGGGAAATCTTGACACTAGGCCAGGTCACATGAGTATCTCAAGGTTAGTGACAGGAGACGTGCTAGACATGAGATCAGACCACTTAACCAAGAGGTACTCTTTTAATACTCCCTTTGAGGTTTTAATACAGGAAAGAGCAGAGATCACCATAAGGGAGCCCAATGCTCAACGACAGGAACAAACCTGGTATACAGACGGGTCTAAGACTGCGGAAGGCACTGGCGCGGGAGTATTCTCCAAAAACCCTGATACTAACCATAGCTATGCTATAGGAATACATTCCTCGGTATTTCAGGCCGAGGTATATGCAATTTTGCAATGTGCAAAAACGAACAATGAAAGAGCTGTCGAAAATCAGCATATTCAAATAATGTCAGACAGCTAAGCGGCACTTAAGGCCATGTCGAGTCAGAAAGTTACGTCGAGGCTGGTATGGGAATGCATCGAAGAACTAAGAACACTGGCAGACCAAAATAGAGTAAAACTATTTTGGGTGCCAGGTCACAAAGGGATCGAAGGCAACGAAAAGGCTGACGAACTTGCAAAAAGAGGGTCAGAAGAAACACCGGAACCAGACACAAACCCAGGAGTACCAAAAAGTACAGTCCGGAGTTTTATAAATGACTGGATTCGGGAACAACACATCAACTATTGGGGAAGCACCCCAAAACAGGCACATGGAAAAACCTTCATAGGCAGACCATGTCCCAAAAGAACTGGAGAACTACTCTTAATGAATAGGAACCAGTTGAAAGTGATAACAGGGTTCATGACTGGGCATGCCCCAGTAAAGGGACACTTGAACAAAATTGGCATGTACAATGGGGAACTCATGTGCCGACTATGTCACAAGAAACCAGAAACGGCCAAACACATACTGTGCGAATGCGAAGCTCTAGATCGCAAAAGACAGGCTCTTTTTGGACAACCCCAGGTTGATCCAACAACGTATAGAACCCACTCACCCAAGGATCTGTACAAACTTGTACAAGGTACAAAGGTGATAGAGTGGGTGCTATGAACTAACATGGGGTACAACACAATAAGCCAATAGGCTTCAGTGTTATTCGGAGACACATAGTCAGACGAGTCCAGGAGAAAAAAAAAAAAAACGTAGTGTACATGTCCTAAAGCTATAATACATTTTTTGTAATCATCTAATAATTTAAGATCTTTATGAAGCTTCCTCTCAAGGGTGTAAAACCTTTTCTGTGCTACAGTGAAAGAATCTCCAAGTTTATGATGTTCATAAGGGGTTTTTAACGGTATATTGACTTGAAAAGATCCATTTGTTAGAATTTTAGTTGTAGTTGAAAATATATTTTCCACAAGAGCTTCCTCCAGGCCTAAAATTTTATTATCTGGGGGAATATATTCCATTTTCCAAAATTTTTCTATTGCGTCGTTTAAATTAGAGGTGTTTAAAAAACAACAAGTTTCATAAGGGGTTTCTATATTATCATAACTTTCGCTAAAGAAATTCGGAATAAAAGTGAAGGCTTGAGAAGAAATAACAGATATATTCCATAAAATATAAAAATTACCCCCTATAAAGTACCCCTCAGATGTCCCGTCTCTGTCCAAAATCTAATCAGTTCACCGCAGGCCGAAATAAAGCCTAAGTTTAAAATTTGGTGTTTTTATTTTTATCCCTTTACGAGTTATCTTGAATACAGACATCACCGTGAAAAAAGTCAAAACTGATTCAGTGGACCATAAAAAGTAAAAAACTGTCGAAAAAAGTCATGACTCCTATAGTTTCCTTATCTATATACAGATAGGACGGTAAAAATCTGCAATCAACCTCTTAAATATGAGATCTAACAGCTTTTTGGTTCCAGTATTTAACAGAATTTCAATTATTGGTACAAGAAGTCAATATAACTGGAACACCTTTCCTTATTATAGTTATGACACATAAAAAAATTATACACACAATCAGTTGTAAATTTTCTGTTAATATTCACTTAGTGTATTAAAATTTTAAGTATTTGTCCTTTAGTTTGTGTCAATAAATGGAGTGTGTCAATTACTGGTACATGCAAATCAAGTATCAATGACTGGTCCTTTAAAAGACCACCAGTCTCGCCACAGTACTCAATAAACTATAAATTACAAGGAAAAAATGTATAATATACCTAAAAAGTTATTATTTAATACAAATCAAGGTCTAATAGTGTCAAATACAATAAAACGTACCAGTATACAGTAGCAGGATCTGACCCACGCCTTAATTCCACAAGTAAATTTTTGGAAGTAGTATCCCATACTCTTATCAATGTCCCTTGATAAGAAGCTGTAGCTAATCTAGTACCTTGCTGATTTAAAGCTAAACAACCAACTTCACTTTTGTGTGCTGGAATCCAAACTGGAGCACTAGAAATGCCAATTTCTGTACAAGACAAATCCTAAAAAAAAAATACATTTTTTTTTTATTTGGATGACATTGGACTAGAAAAATTGTGTGGAAACTGTTACAGCCGTATGCATAGTCGATCGCCAGCGATTCATTTCGGCGTATCGCCAGCGATTCGCTGGCGAAAGCCCAAGAAGGTGGCGACTCGCCGGAGATTGTCACCGGAAAGTCATTTCACGCAAGTTTTTATTTTCTTTTATAGGGATTATCACCGGTATCTCTCGCATTTTATTCATGATTCATTTCTTAAAACTCAAAAAATAATGAACGAATATCAACTTTTTTCAGATAACTTGGTAAGAGTTGTTAATGAAACACTGCAACATGTTTATAAATGGTGTTGCAATAATTTGTTGAAAATGAACACAAATAAAACAACATGTATGCTGATAAGTAGCAACTATAACTATACACAATTTGTTGATAAACAATATAACATAATAATTGGAGGAAATTCTATACAGTTAGTAGAAAAATTCAAATATTTAGGGGTAATGATTGACAAGCAGATAAGATTCATACTGTTATCAATACTAGTGTATTTAAGTTAAATTTCCTATTTAGAAGTTCATTTGACTTATTACAGTGGACTAAAAGTATTATAATCATTGCGTTCGGTCTGCCAAGTTCCTTTAACTCCTTTAACACTTTTAACTCCAAACGACCCTTTTACCGTTAGGTTAAGTCCGATTAGTGACAGTTTAACACGCTTAAATGTCATTTAAAAGCACCCTAAAATTTGTCCCGCTCCAGCCCCTGACTGACCGAACTCGCCTAATATATAATACTATAATTCTACCTCACTTTAATTATTGCTCTACAATACTCTTTTTACTAAATCAAAATGAGTTGAACTGACTACAGAAGCTGCAGAATAGGGCTATGCGAATAATATTATCCTGTTCAAAATATACAGTCATTAATCTAATGCTTGAAACTTTGAGGTGGATGCCAACCAAAGTCTCTTATTACGGAATGCGTTAATTTATATTTATAAAATCAAACACCAGTTACTTCCAATGTACAGAAGAAAGGTCTACTGATACTTTGGAAAGGGTACAACACAAATTTTTAAGAGTATGTGCAGTTAAAAGTAATGTCAGGATTTCAGATAATGATTATAGTGCTATAGAAAGTCAATTAAATTTGCCTCCCTTAAGGGAAAGAAGAGACATATTTGGCTTAGTATTTTTATTCAAAATTTTAAATGGAATTATAGACTGTCCTTGAGCGGGATTAGCGTAAATGTTCCTTATTACCTTGGACCGAGGGGTAAACACATCCAAAAAATGTGTACACAAGAATTCCTAACATAAAGAATACCTGAGAATTCCTGGGAATACCTGAGAATTCCTGGGAATACCTGAGAATTCCCGGGAATTCCTGAGAATTCCTGAGAATTCCCAGAGACTTCCTGAGAATTTCCTGGGAATACCCAGAGACTTCCCGGGTATACCCAGAGACTTCCCGGGAATACCTAGAGACTTCCCGGGAATACCTAGAAAATACCTGGAATACTGAGAGAATAACTGAGTATATCCAGATAATGCCCGAAAAATATATGAGAATAACCAAGTATTTCTAAAGATTTATCTAGAGTTAGTAAATAAGGTCCTTAATGAGGTCCTTAAATTATTAGGAAAATAAATAATTGTTCCGGATTTATTAACTAATGATTAGAATTTTTTCCCTCACTTTAGATCATATTTTACTTTTGATAAAATATAAGAAATAAAAAGATAAGATAGGTATTAACTGTGGGGGAAAAATTTTAACTTTGGAAAAAAATCTGATGGGTCCAATACATGACTTTCCTATCTAGTTATTAGGTACAGGCTTTTTCCGGTTATTTTGTACAACCTATTGTATCATCCCTGTAAATGTTTAGAGGATGAACTAAATACATTTTCCATATGCATCTTACTCGAAACATTTTTTATATTTGGTGTTTTCTCCGTTTTTAAACTGAAATTCGAAATTGCAGTTTATCTCAAATATCTCGACTACGGTCCATTTTAGGGAAATCATGTATATAACAAAAAATATAAAGAATAACATTTAAGAAAAATTATGTATGGGACAAAAATTATAGAAAATTATATTGCAAACAACTTTTATTCAAAAAAATTTCTTCTCCAATAGTAAATAACGGAGATATTCGTTAAATTAAAAAAACGACCCCCTATAAAACACTCCCAGATGCTTCAACTATGTCCATAATTTAGACAACTCACCACAGAATGTATTTAAGCTTAAGTTTAAAATTTGGTGTTTTTCTCTTTATTCAATTTTGAGATATAATTTAAAATTCGAAATTTTCACATTTCCTCAAATTTTTCGAATACGGGTCATTTTGATAAGATTAAGTATGCAACCAAAATTATCTCGAAAATTATAGAGAATAATATTGCAAACAACTTTTATTCAAAGAAGTTTCTTCTCCAAGTGTAAATAACAAATATAAAGTAGGAAAATGGCCTTCTATAAAGTACCCCCCAGATGTTCTGATCATGCCCGAAATATATTCAGCTCGCCGCAGGGTAGATTAAAATTAAAAATTTGGTGTTTTTCCTTTTGTCCGTTTTTTAGTTATGTTCAAAATTTCGAAATTTTCACTATTCCTCAATTTTCTCGAATACGGGCCATTTTAGGAAAATTATGTATGGGACAAAACTTATAGAGAATAATATTTCAAACAATTTTTATCCAAAGAAGTTTCTTTTCTAAGCGTAAATAATGGATATATTCCATAAAGTAGGAAAATGACTTCCCATAAAATGCCCCCCTCCCAGATGTTCCGACTATGCCCAAACTACATTTAGCTCACCGCAGGGTAGATTAAAGCTTAAGTTTATAATTTGGTGTTTTTCTCTCTATCCGTTTTTGAGTTCAAAATTTTCACTGTTTCTCAAATTTCTCGAATACAGGCTATTTTAGGATATTTATGTATGGGGCAAAAATTATAAAGAATAATATTTTAAACAACTTGTATTTGAAGAAGTTTCTTCTATAATCGTAAATAACAGATATATTCCATTGCATACTTGGATAATATATTCCAGGTATTGTTCAATTCTAAACAATTTTAATTATAATTGACAATGTTTGAAAATCCCTGTATGTCCAATTTTATCAACGATCAAAAATAACATTTTGCCGTTATCCACTGTTTAGCAACATTTGAAGTTTTTTTAAGGTAAATATTTTTACAGTATACTTTTTTTAAATAAAATTTTCGTACTGTTATTAATTTTTCTAATAACTTTATTTTGCACCTTCCTTTTGTCCTTTATGAGGGTTATTTGGAGAATATTTTTTACTTTCCCCTCTATGTGTGCGTAGGTCTCGGCGTAGGTGCGTGAGTGGGTGCGTGGATGGATTCGAGGGTGGGTGCATGGGTGGGTACGTGCGTAGATGCGTGCGCGGATGCGAGGTTGCGTGGGTACGTGCGTGCGTGGGTGCGAGCGTGCTTGCGCGTGTTTCTATATACTCGAAAACTCATGAAAGGATTAGGAAAAAACACCAAATTATAAACTTAAGCTTTAATCCACCCTGCCGTGAAAGAAATTTGAGAAAAAGTGAAAATTTGGAATTTTAAACATAAGTCAAAAACGAATGAAGAGAAAAACACCAAATTATAAACTTAAGCTTTAATCTACCCTGCAGTAAGTTGTTTAGATTTTGGACATAGTCGGAAAATCTAGGGGGTACTTTATGCAGGGTCATTTTTCTACTTTATTAAATATACGCTTGCAGAAGAAACTTCCTTAAAGAAAAGTTGTTTGCAAAATTATTCTCTATATTTTTTGTTTTACACATAATTTTCCTAAAATTGCCCGTATTTGAGAAATTTGAAGATAAGTGAAAATTTCGAATTTTGAACATAACTCAAAAAGGGATAAAGAGAAAAACACCAAATTTTCAATTTAAGCTTAAGCACATTCTGTGGTAAGCTGACTAAATTTTAGGCACAGTCGAAGCATCTGGGGGGGGGGGGGGGACTTTATGGGGGTCGATTTTTTTACTTTAACGAATTTCAGTTATTTATTATTAAAGAAGAAATATTTTTGTCCATAGTTTTTTGCAATAGCATTTTTTATAACTTTTGTGCTCGCTTTAGTGCCATACATAATTTTTCTTAAATGGTCTGTATTGTAGAAATTTAACAAAAAGTACAATATTTGAATTTTTTAAAATGAACCGTATTCCAGATATTTTTGGAAAACTGCAAATTTCGAATTTCAGTTTAAAAATGGAAAAGAAAAAAAACACCAAATATAAAAAAGTGTGTGGAAAATTTATGTATTTAGTTCATCCTCTAAACATTAGGAATAACTGGAAATAACTGGAAAAAGCCTGTAATAACTAGATAGGAAAGTCATGTGTTGGACACATCAGATTTTTATAGAGAATTGCCAAAGAATACCTGAGAATTCCTGGGAATACCTAAGAATTCCTAAGAATACCTGAGAATTCCCAAGAATACCTGGGAATTCCTGAGAATACCTGGGAATTCCCGGGAATTTCTAAGAATTCCCGGGAATTCCCAAACAGATGTACACAAGAATTCCCAATGTATTTACCCCTCGCCTTGGACTGAGATATCCATTAACATTTAATATACCCTTTCATAGAACGAGCTATGGCATCAACAGTCCTATTGACAGATACTTGTCTATGTTGAATAATTTTAATTTAGATATGTTTAATATGGGATTAGCAAAATTTAAAACCAATTGTAAAAATGTGATACATGTTCCTTAACTTATATTTAAATTCACCTTAATTAATTACTGTAAAAACTCACTTTTGTACTTTGTTTTAGTAATGTTATAGTAATAGTATTTTCTACCTGCCTTTTTATATTGTAAATTGTATATATTTCTTTAATGGGGTTATCCCGTATAATAAATAAATAAATAAATGTACCTAAAAGAGAAGCTTATATCACTCTAATGTGCACAATTATCCAACGCGGAACAGAAATAACTTTTATATTGAAACAGTTGTTAAGAGTGCAACACAAAATTCACTATTTTTTAAAGGACCAAATCAATATAACGCACTTCCAGTGAAAAATTAAATCAGTAAAGTGCCATATTTCTTAATTGATGAATATTTCTCCAAAAACAGTAACAACCTATAGAATTTTAGTTAGTTTTAATTGTATCTAAATTATCTGTTTTTACTAAATTTATATATTGTGATATTAGCAAACTAGCTAAATAAAAGAAATAAATAAACTATTCATACCACTAGCTGCACGCTTCCAATTTTATGTCCAGGAAATACCAATATTTGTTTTTCAGCTGAAGCTAAATGACTCACTTCGCATAAACCTCTATAATTTTCCTTAGTTTCTAACGTAAATAATCTCTGAGTGGGAGTAGGAAATGAGAACACATGTATTTGGTTTAGTAAAGCAACAATAAGCCTAAAAATTTTAAATTGTCAAATTCAATAGTTATCGTTGTTACAGAATAAAACATACTTGTCTCTACGCATTCGCACAGCTCTTATTGATGAAGGAAATGTAATATCTAGTATAAATTTTTTCAAAAAATCGTCATATATTAAAAGTACGTTGTCAGCGAATTTTGGACGTGATCCTCCGGATACTACAGCTAATACGTTAGTACGGAACAACATTTCACATTGTGAAACACTTCCAACTGTCTCTATATCTAAAAATATTTAAATATAATTTTAATTTCTGCAACCACTTAATAAAGTAGATATTTTCTTTTACCATAATGTGCTTTTTCTGCTAACGGTTCTACATTATAAACGCGAATACCATTTTCCATGCAGCATGTAAAACATCCTAGACAAAGAATACACAAATATTTATTAAGTATAACTTCGAATAAAACATTTGATTATTACCTTGATCTTGATTAAATTTGACACTCAATACTTTTCTATCAGTACCCATCTTTAGAATACATTAAATATTTGCATTTATGAGCTACAACTAAAATATTAAATGCGTAAAATATCTAACTAATGTTTTGATTTACAAAATTTTCGATTATTGACATGTTATTGACGTGTCAGTTTGACAGAATGACGTAACAGCTGGAGGAAAGATGGGTTCCGTAATTTCAATTAGGGCGATTCCAATCTTATCTTTGCGACGGAAGTCAGCATAATCGATGCAGCCAACCCAACAGTTGTATGTACACTTTTTCCTAACTAAATTTTTTTCTTAGAATATAATAATATATAAGGGTGAAATTACAGAACGTCTGCAACTTTGCAGATCTGCAAATATGGCGGACTTACAGATGCAAGTATCCAAAAAATATCTGTAAATTCTCAATATTTATTACCCCTAACAACACTAAATCCAAATCCACCCTTAAGAAGGTTAAAATAACATCCTACAACCATAAAGTCTTCTGTTTCTTTTGTTTAAATACAGTTCATGGTGTCAGATTATCGAGTTTTTAAACATAGTAATGGATTTGGGTTTCGTGTTGTTGGGGATAATAAACCACAATAAATATTGCGAATTTGCAGAACTTTTTTGGAATACGAAAACTTTGCAAATATGGCGGACTTACAAATGTAAGTATTCCAAAAAATATCTGCAAATTCGTAATATTTACTGTGGTTTATTACCCCCAACAACACTAAACCCAAATTTGGAATACGAAAACTTGATACTTGCATGTGTAAGTCAGTCATATTTGCAGATTTTCAAAGTTGCCGCCATATTTGCAGATCTGCAAAGTTGCAGACGTTCTGTAATCTCACCCCTACAAAGTTGCAGACGTTTTGTAATCTCACCAATAGTCAGGAACACGATGAAGTAAGAATCCTACACGACCTTGGAATCGCGATGGTGTTTGACAGTAAACTAGACGAATATGGCGAAAAGTGTTTCCGGTCTACCAGTGACGTACTGTCATAAAGGGACGTAGAAAAGAAAATAATAAATTCTCATTTGCATATTATCTAAATTTACCGATTTCTTTCATTTTAAAGGCTGTATGTCACGATACTAAATTAAGTACTAAATTTAGCTCTAAATTAAGTTATTAATTTAGTACTAAATTTAGAACTAAAAATATTTTTTTCCGTTTGCAACGATACCAATTTTTAGAACTAAATTTACTATAGGCGCACGCGCATTGACGTATTAATACGTGAAATTAGCAGAGAAATGAAATATTCTGTGTGAAACAGACAAGTGAAGTAAATGGTGTTTTTATTATCAATTTGACACTAGTTGACTTGACAACAACCAAATACAGCATAATAACCACGAAAAAAAACACAATAAAACCTACAAAATCAAACAAGCGAACTTTATTCAAGGCGATAATGTAAAATTGTCGCTAATTAAAAATAAAAAGGTACAGAAAATACCGTCGTGTCAACTTTTTCTATGAAAAACTTCTGCGCAACATTTCGGCGCACTTTTAGTACTAAATTTAGTAGAAAATAGAACAAGATCTAATTAATTAATGACTTTTTTTAGTACTAAATTTAGTACTAAATTTGCTGTTTGCAACGTGAATTTTTTTAGTACTTAAAAAATGCATTAATTTAGTTCTAAATTTAGTACTTAATTTAGTATCGTGACATACAGCCTTAAAGAAATTTTATTTTCTTGCGAGAAGTTTGCATTTTTTTTTATTATGTGAAAATATTTTACTTTAAAATTGCATGTTGGGTGGGATAAATATAGGAAAACATTTTTGGGATAATTTATAGAGGGATTTCATTTGAAAAATCAAAGCAATAAAGTATTTAAAAAAAAATTGAGTTTTTTACGTCTTTATTAATCTACATTTTACACATTATTAAGGTAAAAATGCTCCAGATTTACGACTATTAACTCCATATTGAATAAACGAACGATCGAGACAGATTAGACGTAATAAACGAACGAGCCCATATTATTTCTCTTTCTAAACTTTTTTTGGACAGGGATTCTTATGTGCGAACTCAACAGGTTACGTGCTGAATAAAGAGAGAGACGTTACATAAGAATCGCAGTCTGTCAAACAAAGATACGCGTCTCAACACGTGCCGTATTGAAAGATGAGAATCCCATTGCTGAACGTGTCTATTTTGACAGAAGTTTATGTCATATGTGACATATGACAGTTTATTCCCAGTTGGCATTTGACAGAACGTGACAACAGAAAATTGTTGAAAATCATCTTTTAATCGAATTTTATCAGTGTTTAATTATTGCTTAAAGAAACATGTCTAGAGGAAGCAGTGCAGGTTTCGATCGACACATAACCATCTTTTCACCAGAAGGCCGCTTGTATCAAGTAGAGTACGCATTCAAAGCTATTAACCAAGCCGGGCCTACATCAGTAGCTGTTCGAGGCACAGATGCTGCAGCATGTGTGACCCAGAGGAAGATCCCCGATAAATTAGTTGATCCAAGTACAATAACTCATCTATTCCAGCTCACAGAACACACTGGATGTGTTATGACTGGTATGATTGCTGATAGTAAATCTCAGGTGCAGAGAGCTAGGTATGAAGCTGCTCAATTTAAGTATAAATACGGATACGAAATGCCTATTGATGCTCTATGTAGAAGGGTATCCGATATTTCTCAGGTTTATACTCAAAATGCTGAAATGAGACCATTAGGTAAGTCAATTGTAGTGCTGTAATATAAATGACAAAAATCAAGAAAGATTTAAATTATTTTCTTCTTTTATGTATAGAGTGTAAAAGCTACGTTTGAATATCCACTCCGATGCATTTTTTACATCTTTAATGTTTGTTTTATTTAAAATTCATCAAAGTGCTAAAATACGT